ATTGTAACCCCAAATTACAGAGGATTTCCTTTTTAAAAAAATTAAAAACATGTTTTATCATTGAAACACATAATTCCTCAATTTAACCATCCAGCTCCTAGATGCGTGTTTTTTTTTGTTTTTTTATTTGGTGGTTGTGTATGTGTTGGGTTTTTTTTTTTTTTTGTCACTCTAAAGTATGACACAAAGCAGCAGAACTAAATAGACAGAGAGGGTAGCTCATCTTTCAGCGGCTCCCCTTGAGTATTTGATTCAATGTGGCAAAGTAAATGGATTGCCATCAGGGAGGCTCCTGGAGAGGAATACAGCCTAAACAGGGGCTCGGCTCCAGGCACTTAGCAATTTGGCCCCCAAATTGCTAAAATGGAACCTTAGGGGGATGCAGTACACAGGGCCAACTCAAGAAGTCCTTGAGCACATTTTTGGCTGCTAATTTTTTTTAAAAAACCCTGCCTTTCTTTGTAAAATAGTCAAACTGGTTTAACAAATTGCAACACTGTAGTACAATAGAACTCCTGCTTATATAATAGGAAAAATTAATCATCGACAAAACATAAGACAGCAGAATGAGAAAAAAAAAAGAAATGACAAGAAACCAATAGGTCAAATGTTATATTATTGCCAAATTGTGTTAGCGCAAGAGAGACCTCCGCAAGGTCAATTTAAAAGACAAGTAACAACAGAGCTGGAATAATCTGTTTTGCAAGTGCATTCCACAATCCAAGTGGCTGATGCAGAAAAGGCCCCGACTCTTGCAACGGCCCATGGACCCAACCTCTAAGACAAGTAGAAGGCCAAAAAATTCAGGCTACAGAAGGTTTTACAAGTCTAAATCCTCCCTTCATTCAGAAGATGTGCCTTTGGCTCTCCATTGTTTGAGTAAGGATAAATTTGACTTAAACTTAACTCAAGAGCTGAGTAGACACCTACCCAGGGTCATTAAATACCTCCTAAAATGTGAAGTAGAAGAATTAATGATGGCAAAGCATTACCACATATGGGTAAATATGCTTCTTCCATGAAGTATGGTAAGTATTTGCCTAGCAGAAGATTTATCACCACATTTCAGGTCTTTAAAGTCTTCACTAGATGGAATATCTACTATGCATTTCGTGACAAAACAGACTGGCTCATTTCAGGTCTTTAAAGTCTTCACTAGATCTTATCCTGGGGAGATGGAATATCTACTATGAATTTCGTGACAAAACAGACTGGCAGTCTTGCACTTAACACTTGTGCCAGCTCTTGGGAGATAACATTTAGTTACTGAACAAGCATATGCCTTGGTAACTAGTTCGCAAAACACTGTATTCCTAGACAAAATGATCTCTGAAGAGGCATCCTATGAAAACTGTGACATATGTGCTATTTTAGCCATGCGGTGGTCATTACCAAAAGTGTAGCAAAAAAGACACCAGCATATGCAACTGTCCACATTTCCTCTAATATTCTTTTCCATTCCTATCCATCTATACGTGAAAGTGTGTGTGTTGCCATGTTAGATTATGTCTGTGCTTGTCAACACTACCTGCAGTTAACCATGGATGCAGAATTCCGCACTCTGATGGAAGGTGCTATCTCTGTGTGTTTTATCGTATACCACTTTTACTAATGAAAGCAATTAAAATTAGCACTTCACTGTCATCTCATAAGGCGACTGTTATTAGAAACAGACCAAGGGTCGGTCACTGCCAGAGACAGTCTTCTGTTAACCAGCTGCCCTGGAATACTTTCAATCAAAGTAAGATCGAAGGATTTCGCCACATAATCCAGTAAACCAGAGTTATCCTGCCCGTCAATGAGGGTGTTGCACTGAGCTTTTAGGCCAAACAAAAAAAGAGCAAACCTTCTGACTCAAGGCAGGGATCACATTTGAAGAAGTCCTGGAGAGGGTGCACCCAATCTTTGAACCCACTATGGTGGCCATCAAGCAACCTCATCGGAGGGTAGGATACTGTGCGGCAAAGCATTGGGGTCAGGCAAGTGCCCAATGCTGATAAGAGAAGCAAAGAATGTCTACTCTGGGCGGCTAACAATAAAAAATGGAATAAAAACAATATAATAAAATAACTTGTTAATGAAAATGGATTTCATTAACAAGGAAGCCACCAATAATGCAATTTTATTCATGCGTGCTGAGAAATAAGCCCCAGTATTTTTTAATTTTTTTGCGGAAAATACATATAGGATTGAAGACTAAATTTAAAATAAAATTTCCCACCCATTAATGAGCATTTAAAGATAATCTATCTGTATCTAGCAACCGTTATTTCGAAAAGGTCAATGCAATTGCCTGAAGAAATAGTGTTGCTTTTTACTAACATTGCTGGCATTTTGAAAGAGAGAAGGCTTGCAACACAGAAGCAAAAGAAGGCAGGGGGGAAAAATCTCTCTCTCTCTCTCTCTCTCTCTCTTTCTCTCTCTCTCTCTCTCTCTTTTTGGAAAATCACACCTGCTTTTTCCAGTCACATTGTTTCTTTTCTCTAAACCATGCAATGCATGAGCAGAGGAACAAAACATAGCAAAAAAAATCCACTGACTTTATTGAAATATTAGCAAGGTATAGTTGCAACTTTTGTACATTTATGCAAATGAAATTGCCAGAACAAGAGAAAGGATTCTCCCCCTCCCCCCTTGGAGAAAGAATCTAAAATCAACAAAGTGAAAAGATCAGTCCTCCCTTCGGAAGGAAGACAGCATGGCAGAAGAGACGGCGGCTTGGGAACTGGGGAATTTAATTTTTTTTTTTTAAAAAAGCACACTACACATATGCATAACTCTCCAAAGTTTAAGTACATCATTGTTCATTAAGCTATTGATTTAAATGAGGCACAGTACACTGTCCCATCAGACAGTCCTATTTAGCAGGGGTCTGCAAGAAAATTCCGAGAGAAGTGCAACTCGCATAGGATGTATATGAAAAAAAAAAAAAACAAGATAGAGAATGTGTTAGTGCATGCACCCCTTAAAAGTTAAAAAAAAAAAATCAAGTGGAGATTTTCAAGAACAGTGCAATTGTAGTATAGGTCCGAGTGCATTTTCTTTTTAATTGAAAGCCAGCCCTCCTGTTTGGACTCAGGCCTCCAGCTGAAGGTCAAACCCCTGAGTTTTGGAAGCTATTTTATCCGTGACAAATCTTGCAACGCTTCGCCCCTTGAAATCTCCTCCTATGAACAGTCAAAACCACATCTGTTCGGTCACAGATTGCGGAAGCAGGAGGGTGCAGGCATCCAAGAGGGAGTTCCCAGAGTCCTTGTGCCCGAGGCTGGCCTAAGGTATCCGGAAGCGCCAGGGGAGCTGGGGCTGCAGCTGTCACTGCCACCCCCACGGAGAAACGGCAAGGCAGGTTTTCACCTGCATCTGTGGATGGCAGATCTGCCAGAGGTTAGAGGGGTTGAGCCAGAACGTTTGGCCAGTCCCAGTTTTGCTACTGGCTGGAGGCTACTGTACCTTTTTTTTTTGGATGAAGTTGTATGCATCAGGATAGCAAAAGGAACCACAGAAGGGCAGGGTTAAAACCGTTTCTGGGCTTAACTACTTCAGAGAGTGGGAGGGAGCATCACATAAGTGAATGCTTTTTTGTACATTAAAAAAAAATCTTCACGTGCAGAAAAAAAAGAGAAAGGGGCAGGATAGGACCCTTCTTGCAGAGAGATGAGCATTCAGTCATAGGATCTTCATTTGAAGAAGAACAACAGGCTTGCCTCCACCTGGCCCCCAATCAGCTGAGCGGTAGAACTAAGCCTTAAATCTGTGAGCAGGAAGGACAGACCAGTCTTCAGGCACTCAATGCCAATTCATGTCTGCTCATTTATAAACCCGTCTTGGCCCATATCTGCCTTAAATTATATTTTTTTCCAAAAAAAGCATCCCTCCCAGTTGTATTCAAATCTATTTTTTCTAACACAGTTTCCAAACAGAGTGCATCCCTTTTTGATACGCATGTCAGCATGTTCGGGGGGGGGGCTGAGAACATCCTGGCACGCATCAAAAAATTCAGAGGTGTGTCATACCTAAAGGATGACTGTATTCCAACCTGCATCTTAATGTGGAAAGTGAAGATCAGACTGATTCTCTTCAAAAATTGGAACAAAACCTTGGGCATCTTAATTAATGACTCATTCAAGCCCAGCAGAGTAAATCTCCCCCCATCAAAAAATAAAGCTATAATGTACAGTAACTCAGACTCTCTAAGCTACCTTTGGTTTGTCACTGTATTTCTGGAAATAACTGGGACCCTTTTGTGTATGATCTATATATCTGGATCAAGATGCTTGCCTCAGCAGTTCCACCTCTGTGATCTCCCTGTGATCACCCAGATGCCTGTTAGTCAATATCTGTGTAAGAACTGTCTTTCTGCTGCCATGAACCTCATCCTGCCAAGATTCATCTCCTCCACCCCTGAACTGATAAAAGTCAATTACACTCAAGCTGTTAACAAAGAAACAAATTTACACGTATTTTTTTTTTACCCTGGGTCTCAAAAGGAGGTCAGGTTAGTCTTAATTTCCCTCAGTTTTGAGTCTATCTGGACCAAGGAGGGGTGGAAGAGAGAAGAGATGGAGAATGTCAAAATGTTACTTGAGTTTTTGTATGCTAATCTTTTCCTTAAATTATTAACCGATAGGAAGAAATTATTTACATTGTGCTCGGCGTGGACGCTGGTGGTGTGTCGCAACGCGCACTGTCAAAAGAAATCCTCAGAGCGAATGATTAGAGTTGTCGGGTCTTATTTATTTATGCTGCCCGTGCTCAGAGGACCTGTGTTTTGAGATTGCACCCAGAGAGTTAGAGAGAGAAGGATAGAGGATTTTCTGATGTTTCAGGAAAGCAAGGAAGGAGTGGGAGGCGGTGGGGGAGGAGGGAGGAAAGGAGGATTTCTCTTGATATTCGCTAAACAATGAGATTATTCCACACAGATAACAACAGAAACAAACAATGCAGATTTGCATTTGCTTCCCCCCCCCCCTTGTTTTTATTTATTTGAAAGGAAGGTGTACCTGAAGTTCGGTCTGAAAGAAGAACTTCTGTGGGCACTGGGAACAATCGTAAATTTTATCCTCTTGCCCGTGGACAGCAAAGATATGTTGCTGCAATTTATTTGCCTGTACAAAAACTAGAGAAACAACGACGACAACATTAGCAGGGGACAAAGAACAGACCAGCCTAGGCAAATTCACCCTGCCTGCCTGTCCAGGTATTTTGTGGCTCAGCACACACCTGATGAAAACTCAACCTTCCGTTGTATTGAGATGCAAAATTGACGGCCACCTCAATTTTGTTTTCCTCCTCTCCTTGCTTTTTCATTCATCTATTTTGTAATTAGGAGTTGGCTTCACACTAAGTTCGATGTATTTAAAGCCCACTGAAAATATGACTGGTTCTGAAGTCAATGATACGTAGGTGGGAACAAAATAAAAAGTAGGAGTAAAAACAAAATGTGGTGGCCCCTTAAAGGCTGAGTTTCATATTGTTCTGAAATATTCCTCCTCTCCTTGCTTTTTCATTCATCTATTTTGTAATTAGGAGTTGGCTTCACACTAAGTTCGATGTATTTAAAGCCCACTGAAAATATGACTGGTTCTGAAGTCAATGATACGTAGGTGGGAACAAAATAAAAAGTAGGAGTAAAAACAAAATGTGGTGGCCCCTTAAAGGCTGAGTTTTATATTGTTTTGAAATGTGAGCTTACATGGACAAGTCCACCTCATCAGGCTTGTCAATGTCATCAACATGCAAATAATTTAGGCTGGACTCAATCCTGTGGCCTAAATCCAAGCGTATGTCCCAAATACCGCTGACCCAATGAATCACTGGGATTGATCTTAGCATCAGCTTACCTTTCGGCAGTTGATTTGGTGGATCTGATGTTATTTGGACAAATCTCAAATCTTTTCTCACCTATTACAATTTTTGTGGATTTGGTGGATCTGATGTTATTTGGACAATTTGATTTCAACTTATGTTTATACAGGACCTGCTTTTCAGCCAAAACTTTCCATTTTGCTGCCAAAGTGGCTTGTAATTAAAATCTATACGGAAGTACCATACAGTTAGGATTATATGAATGAGCGTATGAGGCAATGCCTTCTAAGCCTAGATGCCACTACCACTTCCTGGCTCTTCCTGCCAAGACATCTAAGTTGAAGGAGCTGCAGATGAACATAGAAAGGGGAGGGGGACATACCTGCTTTTTTTCTTGTTTCCAAAGGTGAGAGAAAAAAAATCTCAAATCTTTTCTCACCTATTACAATTTTTGTGCATTTTGCAAAAGGAAAAAAGAAAAGAAAAAAAGAAAGAAAGAAAAAAAAGGGGAGGCGTATTTTGTGCAAAAGAGTTATATTGTGAAACTCTTCTGTTTTGCACACTCTATAAACAAGGGTTGTTTAAAAACATGAAATACCAAGGGGATGCATTTTAGAAAGGGGAGGGGTATTTTGTGCAAAAGAGTTATATTGTAAAACTCTTCTGTTTTGCACAATCTATAAACAAGGGTTGTTTAAAAACATGAAATACAAGGGGATGGCATTTTATTTATTTATTTTAATTTTGCTAAAAGTATTGCTGCTGGCCCAAAACCATCTAGTATTTTTGCTCTCGTGCTGGAATGACAAATTTAGCAGCAGCCAACAGGTCTGTTTTTTAAATGGGTTGTATCAATTTTGTTAAGACACCCTTTCCCAATAAAAATGTGTCAGTATATTTTGCTTCCTTAGGCACACAGGTGGGCAGATAGTAAAGCCAAGAGAAGTGGCTCTTTGGTGGCTTATAGTTGTTATCTTGAAGTAGCCATCGGACAGACATTTTTCAAGGTGCTTTGGGAATAACTGTTAAGTGCTTGTTTTGGAGAATCAAATCCTAAACCTCTCCATAGTTTGTGGCTCAGGTGCCCATTGCACCCTCTAACTTTTGAAGTGCCAGAAACGACAAATGGGGAAACACAAAAGAGGCTTTCCTTTTTAGGCAAAAGAAAAAGGGCTGGCACACGAAAAGTATGAAAATGAAAGAGGTGCCCCAAAAGAACCTTTAAAAGAACCTAAAACAAAAGAAATACAAAATATCTTGATGTGCAGAACACAGACGGCTAGTAGTAGAGATGTGCAGCTGTGCGCTTTTGGGGCTGCACCTCGAAGAATCCTGGGAATTGTAGTCCCGAAGCACAGATCTGCTCACCTCTTGTTAGCAGCATTTTATTGATGGTCCCGGTGGATGATTGTCATGAAATTGGGAAGGTGATAAAGCAAGCAGGGCCAGCCTGTGTCATCCCACAACTCCATGGTGTATACATTCAACATGTGCAACATGTGTGTCTTTCCCACCATAAATAACTTGTTCAAGGCAAGCAGGCAAGGCTAAAGTCGAGGGCAGTGTGAACCCACTCTCACGCCCTGATCAATGCTGAGAATTATTATGTCAAAATAATTCATTAAACTTAGTACGTGAAGGTTCAGGGGACAGTGGACAACGCGGCATTTTATGGGAAATGAAAGGTGGAGGGAAAGCCTTCTTCCCAAGCAGCCCAGTTTGAGAAATACTATTTGAAAGCTTTCCGAGTAGAAGTTCCTCCACACACGCACGCACCTCCCCGGTCTTTCAAGGAAAGGAATACTGTATTTTAAAACTCCCCTGGGTGTCATTTCTGGATCAAACCATGCACATTGAGGCTTGTCTGGGACCAACCGTCTTACCTGTAAAACAAACAGGGCATTTGAATGTGCCTCCCATCCCCTCGAAGCTGTGCTCAATCAGGTGACACAGGAGCTTTGCCGGCGAGTCAAACATCTGGTTACACAGCTTGCACTCATGATTGATGCCTTCCTCTGCAAGGTTCAAATGATACAACTTGTTAGTGACACAGCAGATTAGCGTCTGAAATGCAGCAGTCGGCGAGGAATCGGGAGTGCCGGATTGGGAGACTTCCGGGACCCGACTAGGTTTCTCTTTCTGCAGGGCCCACCCTTGCAAAAGCACAGCATCATACGTTCGCGGAGTGCATTCAGGTGTATGGCCGCAAGTCAATTTTTGTGGGGCATTTCTGCTCTTCAGCCGTGATGGAAGTGACACGGTGATCAAACCACAGGTAATGTACATGGCTGTTTCCCCGGGCCTATGACACAATGCCATCTCTCAACACGTTACTCAAACACACACCGAAAACTACAAACAGAACATTGTTGCTGTGGGCACAGAATACGTCAGTATGTATTTTTAAGAATCCTCAAATCACACCGAACAGGAAAGTTAAGCACGGGAGTTCAGGCAAGGCTATCAGAGCAGCATCACAGAAAGCATCCTTGAACACCATCTGCATTGCAGCAAAGATAAGAAAGAAGACAACAATGCATAGGGGAAAAAAGAGAGAGAGAGAGAGAGAGAGAGAGAGAAGGGTTTGAATCCAGCAAATGGTCTACATGGAGCTGTTTATTGTGATTCAGTTTAGGCATCTGAAACTCTCCTTCCAACATGGCTTTTCTGTTATTTCTGCTACAGACAAGGCGATGGATCTTCTCAGTTGAGTCTGGAGGCCAACCAGACAATGCAGGAGCAAAGACGCTTGTCTCTACAAAGCAGTGGACAAGGAACCCACATTGTTAAAACAGTCCTTTGAATGCTTCTGAGCAGGCCTAAACTATTGGAGGGGGGGGGAAATAATGTTGAATCAGAGCCTTTCTGGATGCTTTACAAGCCGCTTCTCAGTTGTCAATTTAAAACTTTTCAGTTTTAAAACACTCCTTTCAAAGCAGCTTGCTTCTTCAAGGATTCAAAGAGAAGCTTCTAAAATAATGTCCACCTCTGTGTGTGTGAAAGGGTTCCTTTTTCCATACTCTCTCTCTCTTCTGGAAAAAGAGAGATTCAAACCTGTGACTTCATGTATAGTTCTTTTATCTACCATGTGCCATCACGTTCCATCACATGCCTAACAACCAAACCAAACATATAGGGCAATTATCCGTTTGGTTTACCCGAGTTTGGTTCATGCTACTTATATGCTATTTTGGGCTGAGTCTGGAAGCATGGCAAACCGTTAAAGCTGCGACAAACAAAACTCAAAAATAATAAAAATATAATAGGTTCCTGTTGATGTGGAAAGTCGTCCCACTGGAGGCAAGACCTTTTAATTTGCAAATCCACTTCTGGATTATAAGGACTTCTTCTCACTGGTGGGTTTTTTTTAATTGCACTCCCGCAAGAGTCCATTATATATTTTCTATGTCGATGAAACCATCCAGAAAGATGTGAAAAAGGACAAAGGGGGGAAGCGGCATGGAAGGGGAAAACGAAAAGAAAGTTTAGCCTGAGAAATATGTCCCTTTTAAACACAAAATATGAAAAAAAAAAGTCCTGAGATATGGATGGACCTTGTGTAATGCAGTGGTTAGAATGCTTGACCCCAGGGAGGAGACCTGGGTTCAAATGCCCACTTCAACTCCTAGGGAATGAAAGCCACTCAACATCTCTAAGTCTCACTCACGTCACAACATTGTTATATAGCAGCAGGGGAGAAGGCAAGCATCTCGACTACCTTATGCTTTCTAGAGGAAAAGCAGGTTGCAAATATAGTGATAAATCAAATTATAAACCTCGAGGGCTAGACAAATGCTCAATTTTGCAGGAAGGCTTTCTTGAAAAAGAGAAAGCCTTGTTGACCTGCTGAGGCAGCACTTCTTGGTGGTGACAGTGGACTGGCCGCACATGGGATATAGCGACAGCCAGTTATTTACTTCCTGTTTATTCCATAGGAATAAGGAAAGGATGTCGGAAGGGATGGAAGAAGCAACGTGATAAATATATCTGTAAGAGAGACCAACCTAATAGGCGAAGCATATGCAACCCCTCTCATTTTTAACATAAAAAGCAGATTTCTACCCCTTGCTGTGCCAAGCCTTTCCATATTGTTCTCCTTAAGCTCTCAATCTGCTTGTGGATCTATTGATTCAATGCTGAGCAAACACTGCATCAAATCAGTGATTCTTCAGGTCGCTTTCTCTGTCTCTCAAGTTCAGAATAATAAGCATTAATTTTACACTTCATTTCTCCATACAAGAGAGAGAGAGAGAGAGGGAGGGATAGAGAGAAAGAGAGAGAGAACGTGGTCCTTGTTTAAAACAAGTAGGCCTGCGGGATTTTATCAGGCAGAAACTATGTCAGGCCAAAAGAGGAACAGAGCGCTTTGTGTAAAAGTGTCGTGGGGAGATGATAGTATTCTGTAATGTTCCCAGTACCTACTTTTGTCTCCAAAAGCAATTGATCCCTTGCAGACACATATACTTATTTCCATACAGGTCTTGAGGGAAAGCCAGTAGGAATGGGAGCTTATTATCTGAATCCTGAAGGTGAAACCTGGGGGGTGCCCACTGATGCTAAAGGCAGGCATAGGGGTGCATTTGGAGGTACATAATTTACTGCCTGTTAGTGAGGATTAGTGAGTTGCGCTGACCCGGTTGAAGTGCGGTGGTGAAATTTAGCTCCCATTGTTCTTCAGTTCAAATGCATTTGTGTGGTGTTGATAGGAACACGCTTCACAGCCCTTCCGACTCTCAAGCCCTGCCTCGGCTGATACTGTGGCACCACGCCTTGGCGTTCAAGTGATTTCAGTGGCAGGGAAAAAAATGTGCATTTGCTGCATATTAGAAAAAGCCTCTGAGTCTGTAAGAGAGCTGATAAGGGCATCCTCCTGGAAGGGTCTCTGTATAATTAATAATGCTGCATGAAGCCCACGTACACGGGACCACTACCATTCTAATTATAAACTACTGTATAGTAATGGCAGCCTAATATGAGCAATGCCACAAGTAAAAGGAGACAGGCTAACATACGCTCAAGCCAAGAATGAATAGATAAGGGGTATGTACAGTTAAGAAAAAAGACCATCTCGTTTACTGTTAAGACAAAGCAAACCAATCATGGAGCCACAGAATAATGGAATAATGCTCCCTCCAATCTTATTTAATATAACAAGGTTCTCCCTCAAGGAAAGATGAAGGGGGAATAGCCTCCTACCTTACTGTATTGTAAAGACATAAGGCAACCTGGTGCTTGGTTTGGACACAGGGGTATGAATCCCATACTATTTTTCTCCCAGAACGGTCTGTTTCTCCTTCGTTGCAAGAAATTAGGGTAATGAAAGCAGGCATGCATTATTTGTGCAAATAACATGCATACATCCCTTCGTTAATGACACCCCAGTGAATGTGTGGGTACAAACATTCAGCGCGACCACATGTTGAACATGGCCTTTCCCCCTTTTAAAGAGATCGTGCCTCGCCTCATTGTCCTGTCTGTCAATTCTGTGTCTTCCTTAAAAGGATCAAGCTTGTCAGCTGCGGTGGTGGGGAATCTGATTTTAGTAAAACTAATTTAATTAAAATCTTTCTAAGACAAAGGATTAGGGGAAAGAAGGGTTAATTCCCTCTCACCGCCCCAAAAAACCCCACCCTCCTCCATTAACCCACGGTGCTTTCCAGGTTAATAAACTGTGCCCCACACCTAATTGCAAAGCTTGAAGTTGGCCCTTATTCCTGAGTTTTACGCTTGGAGTGGCTGAGATCAGATCTCATCATAAAGGGATCTTTGCCTCTCTGTTTAAAAAAAAAAAAGGCCTGGAGGAGGAAAGCACTCATTTCACACTCCAGACAGACAACACAATTACAGTATCGATTTGTCATTAAACACTGCAGAGCGGATAACGGCACCGCACCAAATTCTAGGCAAAGGAACCGCTTAGACCGCCAGCGAGAAAGCACGCTTTGCCTCGGCTAATCTAATTGCTGTTGTCATGTTGGAATGTCATTAGTTCCATGTGTCATTTCGGAAACCTCGCTTCTTTTCTGTCTTGTCAGGATCTTTGCTCGAGTTCCAAAAGGCTCCGTCAAGATTTCCCACTTAAATGTGGGTTGCCTCCCCCAAACCACGCACCGCACTGCCTCCCCACCTACCCCCTACTGCTTTCTGCAACTGGTCCCCTAGAGAACACTCCCCCAGGATCCTTTTCGAGGGGCATCTCCCCCCCCTGAGGCATTTTCTTTCCCCGCAGGCCTTTGGGAATCACAAATGAGTTCAGGTGGTTTTTATGTGGGGCTGGAGGGACAAAAGGAACCCCTCAGAACTGTACCCTGACAATTAAGGAGTCTGGCTCTTTTTTAAATTTTTTTTTTAAAGCACGGGATTGATGGCGTGGACCTGGAAAAGGATCACCTGGGGAACTGGGTGTAGCCCTCTGAGGGTTGATGGAGGTCAGTTGCTATAGCAACAGAGAATGAGCTCAACCTTGTAACTGACCCTTATCTTTTTTTGATCTGTTGGCCACTTGGGGCCAGGGCTGGAAATCAACTGGAAAATAATCCGGTCACATATCATAAAGAAAACTATCTATACTTATTTACCCAGGTAGAGGCTGAAATCCTCTGCATGGGTGATTTGCTTATATTTAAGTGCCTCCCACCCTTAATGTCTGCACAGCATTTTGCAAACTGCACACCCATCGTCTACGCTGCAGACGGTGCTCAGAAACGTTGGAACACGCATTCTGAGGAACTGGGTGCAGCTTCAAATTTTCAGGTACCTTTGTTTTTTTTCTCTCCATTAGATGGGAATATTTATATTCTGTCTTTCAGCTTTCAAGAAATAGCTGACAAACTTCCCACCCCTGATAAAGTAGATAATAAGCCTGCACAATTAAAAAAACAACATACAAAAGCAGGCTGAAACATAATGAATGCCAAGTGCCTGAGAAAATAAAAAGGTCTCATCCTGATGTTAAAAAGGAAGGGAGGGAGAGAAATAAAGACAGAACCTCTGGAGAGGGCATTTCACAGATGAC